GGCCTGTACTATATTTCATGCCAGAATTGGGATCTGGCTTCAGGTAAGTTTAGAGCTGAATCACTCTCCACAACCCAGGAAATATTTTATCTTTATTATGAATCCAAGCTTGGAAGGGAACTGATGTATTTAAACACTTGTAGGATAGTTCTACAGTAAATCTGGTTGGAGCACTTCCACCTTCCACATCTGGCCACCTCCTCCCACTGCTGCTGCACCCCACTGCAGAAGAAGTTCAGCACTGGTCCAGAGAGAATTGACTCAAGGCTGACTTCAACATGCCTGAGATCACCGTGTTTGTGGATAATCTAAAAGGCAAACCCATGTGTCTTCAAGGCCAAAGACTGTCATAAGAGCTAAACCAACTCCCTAGAGTAAATCTGACATGCCCTTGGCCTTTAGAGCTGACAGACTCCACTCCTGAGCAAGAACAAAGTCCTGGGCTGTAAATTAGCACCTTCCACAACATTTCCAGCACAAGATTACAGCTGGTCACTAACGCATCTGTGCCTGCCCTCGATGTTCTACACAGCTATCTATTTAGGCTGCTCTGCATAATTTAAGAATTAAAATTAAACACTATGTTACCTACAGCCACATCATCTCAGATGAGCTTAAACAACTGTGAAATTCCTGTGATCTATTAAAAGCAACATTCAGTGCATGCATTAATCAACAGATGCTCGGTAGCTGTGCATCAGAAAACCACAAGTGAGAAGCAGCCTGAACAGCCTCCTGCTGAAATCATTACTTTCCTTGTGACCAAGTCCTTGAAACAGCAAGTGTGCCGTGATGCTGGAGTGGTGTTTGGCTTGGTTACCTCGGTGGCAGTAACACGGACTGGCCCCTTCTCGCTGGAAACAACAGGTCAAACGAGCAGTGGTATTTCCTGCTGATGAGTCAGAGATGAGACATGAAAATCACCATCTCTTCACACAGAACACTCGAGACATTATAATTTGGTATCACCTGTGATTGCTTCACCCACAGTGTGCTGTGCTGAGCACACTGCAGCACAGTGGGAAGACAGCTCAGAGTAGCTGACCGACTGCTACGTGTGCTTGCTGCAATTTCCTGATCTCACACAGCAGCCTGGCCCAGCAGCTCTTGTTGCCTCCAGCTGCTCTGATGCTCCCCCCCCGATGCTCCCTGGGACCCTTGTTCTCCATCTACCCTTTTCCCTTTTCCTGTTTTTTTTTTTTTTTCCCTTTACATCCTGGCCTTTGTGAGGTTCAGTCCTGGGTTTGTGTTTATGTTGCCAGGCCTCTGCTTTCCTGGCTAAATCTTCCTCCCTTCCACATCCCTTCCTGAATCCTTCCCATGGCTCCCAAACCCCATCTGTGGTTTCCTTTTGGCCAGGGCCAGCAGGCACAGTGAGGACAAGGTCAGTCACCTCCTGAAGACTTACATCTGTACTCATCCCTTTTCTGCACCAGTCCCTCATGATTAAAAACACATGACAGCTAAAAGGCCAGTAAAACAAAACAAGTGTGGAGCTTTCTGATCACACCAGTTGAAAGATTCAAGGAACAAAAACAACCCAAAAAATGAGGCTGAGGCCAAGGCCAAAACCAAAAAAACCCCAAACAAAACAAAAGCAAAGAAATAGCAAAGAAAAAGCAAACCAGTACAATTTCTGGCCTTCTTTCTTAGACCAGATGACCTACTCATTATGCCAAACACAATTCACATGACTAGGAAACAGAGTTTTAAGATTTTCCTTGTTCTGCACAGGCCTGGTAGAACTGAACATTGCTCTGGTGACAAGGGCAGGAGCCCTTTGCCACTGGTGAAGACCACACAGGACTCCAGTCATGCCCTTTTCCCTGATCAACTCGCTTTTCCACCATTGTCTGACTGGATTTTAAACCAGCAGGAATGGACACAGCTACTCCTGCCTCAGATCAGTGTGGGCACAGCTGTAAGGGAAGAGGAGCAGACACCTGCCATGGCACCAGCTATGCAGTGCAAGGAAGGGGCTCCCAGCTGCACAACAGAAAGAGTTCTTCACCCTGAGAGCGGTGCAGCATGAGGACAGGCTCCCAGAGCAGCTCCATCCACAGAGACATTCCATTCCTTAGACATTTACAAAATTTCTCTGGACAAGACCCCAAGCGACCTCCTCTGACCTTGAAGCTGGACCTGCTGTAAACAGAGGATGGGCTGGAGCTCTCCAGAGGTGCTTTCAATGATATTTTTCCCTGATTTTTAGGAGGATAGGATAATGACCTGCCAAAGAGGACTGGGCTGCACAGCTGGGGAGCTTCTTCCTGTCCTGTGACCCAGAGCACGAGGCGTACTGCATGGAGGAGAGAGGCACATGGCCCCCACTCTCCTTCTCTGCCACAACCACACTGACTCTCTCCAAGTCCCTCTCAACAGAACTTCTGGCTTTTTCATTGTGCTTCCCAGAAAAGCAAATAAAAACTCCAGAATTTATTATGAGCTAAGACCATGCAAGTTTGCGAAAGACTAATTTATTCTTAGAGGCATTCTCAAGGGAAACACTGATGATTCACCTTTTAGTGACCAGCCACTTCCAGCCATCCTTGGCAAACTTTGAATTTAGTTTTCACAGAAAAAAGGAAGACAGTATTCACAAGGAAATTTCTTGTGTTTCATCAGCTTAAGTGCATCTCATTCTGGATCAAGCTTCATTATTTATGGATGAAGTGTTGTTCAAAATCTCTACTCCAGTGTATAATGAAAACTGAGATCAAAAAGCAGAAGTGCCTGAGTTTCTGATGTGTTGGAGGCCTGCAGTCCCACTGTTTCCAAGTGGAGGAAGATGTGCACATCACTCTGGAAATCAGCTTGCACCACTTTGGAAAGTGCCAGTCTCATTTTTCACTGTTACCTGTGAGCTCTGAATCACCCCATAGCTGTGCCTCTGCTGAAGCCATGCACTCTGCCCCAAATGCTGCTGGGATGCAGAGAATGAGTTAAAGCAGACGGGATTAGCAAACTGCAGATCATCGGAAATTAGCCAGTGTGGAAAAAAACCCTTGGTCAGAACTATGGTAAGACTATCTAAGTAGGTCACAACAAAACCACATCAGATGAGCAAAGGAGGTGTAGGTTCAGTCTGTCAACATGAAACCAGACATTCTCCAGCTCTGCCCTGCCAGTAACACGGAGAAGAACAGCTACCCTCCTAGTCACTGGTTTTTATAATTCAGGCATGTTCATACCTACTCAGGCGGCTTTCACTTTTAAGTAAATGAGTATGAATTTCATAAATCTGAAATTTCATTTGATTAAGTTCACAACTGATATTTCAGAGGACCTTTAAAACAACCTGAGGTATTCAAGAAGTGTGTTTGAATATTTCCTGAGCTAGTCAAACCAGAAATCAAAGAAATGCATGTGATGCTGTTGTACACTGTCCCACGTCCCTGCCAGCCCAGCATCTCAAATTTGCACTGGATGGATGGATGGATGGATGGATGGATGGATGGATGGATGGATGGATACCCTCAACTTTGTAAGCAGAAAGGTGCTAATTAGCCTTATTTTCCAGGATGCACAGGAGACTTTAGAGACCCAACCCCAGCAGCAGCCTGGGCCAGAAGGGCATTTGTACTTAGTCCAGATAAAGCTGATCTAAATTTTATTTTAATTTGCTGATTAAAATTGTTAATCAATTACTCACTGCTATTTCAATTCAAGTGCATTTTTATGCTGGTTTTGAGGCAGTGGCCTTCCGTTTCAGCTCAGTGGGACGTGTCTGAGGCGTTGCTGCTGCTGCAAGGCCAGGCTGTGGCTGGAGGTGGGAGCTGTGGACAAGCTGTGCCCGGCACAGGTGAGCTCAGCCGGCAGGAAGGGCTCCGGGAGCTGCAGGTGAACGTGTCTGATTGGAAAATCAAAATCAGCACCCGCTTCTGCCCGCGCGCCGCAGAGCAGGCCTGGCGTGACGCTGCAGCGCACTTGGCAGGCATTTCAAACCCTGGTACCCAGAGCCGCCTGGGAGCCAGCCCGGGCCTCCGTGAGCGCAGCGGCGGCTCTGGGGACAGTGCTGGCTCTGAGGGACAGGACACGATGGCAGCTCTGGGGATGGGGAGCAATGGTGGCTCTGAGGGACAGGGAGCAATGGTGGCTCTGAGGGACAGGGAGCAATGGTGGCTCTGAGGGACAGGGAGCAATGGTGGCTCTGAGGGACAGGCACGATGGCGGCTCTGAGGGACAGGGAGCAATGGTGGCTCTGAGGGACAGGACACGATGGTGGCTCTGAGGACAGGGAGTGATGGCGGCTCTGAGGGACAGGACACGATGGCAGCTCTGGGGACGGGGAGTGATGGCGGCTCTGAGGGACAGGACACGATGGCAGCTCTGGGGACAGGGAGCAATGGTGGCTCTGAGGGGCAGGACACGATGGCGGCTCTGAGGACAGGGAGTGATGGCGGCTCTGAGGGACAGGACACGATGGTGGCTCTGAGGGACAGGACACGATGGCGGCTCTGAGGATGAGGAGCAATGGTGGCTCTGAGGGACAGGACACGATGGTGGCTCTGAGGGACAGGACACGATGGCGGCTCTGAGGATGAGGAGCAATGGTGGCTCTGAGGGACAGGACACGATGGCGGCTCTGAGGATGAGGAGCAATGGTGGCTCTGGCTCCAGCCCGGGGGACACGACGGCAGCTCTGAGGACAGGGAGTGATGGCGGCTCTGAGGGACAGGACACGATGGCAGCTCTGGGGACTGGGAGTGATGGCGGCTCTGAGGGACAGGACACGATGGCAGCTCTGGGGATGAGGAGCAGTGCTGGCTCTGGGGACAAGGAGTGATGGTGGCTCTGAGGGACAGGACACGATGGCGGCTCTGAGGACAGGGAGTGATGGGGGCCCTGCAGACAGCGAGCGATGGCGGCGCTGCTGCCGCTGCCCCCGCCGACAGGGAGCGCCCCAGGCGCCGCCGCCCCGCTGTCACGTGACGGCCCGGTGGCGCGCGCCCGCGGCCGTTCCGCCGCTGTCGCCTCCGCGCGCGGCCGGACGTGCCCGCCCGAGCGCCGGAAGCGGCGGCGCGCGGGGCGCCGTGGGAGCGTGAGCCGGGCAACATGGCGGAGGTGCGGGCGGTACGAGGGCCCCGCGCGGTGCCCAGGGCTCGGCGCTGGAGGCGGCCGCGGTGCCGGAGGCGCTGGGACCGGCAGCGGGGCTGGTGCCGTGCACACCGGGGCTGGTGCCGTGCATACCGGGGCTATTCCCGTGCGCACCGGGGCCGTTCCCGTGCACACCGGGGCTACTCCCGTGCACACTGCGGCTATTCCCGTGCACACTGGGGCTGTTCCCGTGCACACTGGGGCTGTTTCCCGTGCGCACCGGGGCTGTCCCCGTGCCCAGCCGGGCGCGCCGGCCGTGCCCACCGTGAGGAGCTGGTCCCCGTGAGGAGCTGGTCCCCGTGAGGGCCTGTGTGAGGAGCTGGTCCCCGTGAGGGCCTGGTCACCGTGAGGGCCTGGTCACCGTGAGGGCCTGGTCCCCGTGAGGGCCTGGTCACCGTGAGGAGCTGGTCACCGGGGCGAGGTCAGTGTGGTGCGGTGCTGTGTGCACATCTCTGCTGGGCTTTGTCGTGCTGCTCCCGTCCAATATCATCATATAATATTATATTATCCACTATCATCATATATTGTATTATCCAGTATCATCATATAATATTATATTATCCTGACAGGTCTGCAAATGCCACCCATGAAGTCATCAATGCCACCCTCCACACTCTGCTGGCTGCTACCACCAAGCTGGTGGCACCTACGGCTCCCAAGCCCATCCTTCCTGTTCAGACTGGAGTCCAGGCACAGCAAGAGGAGCAGTCTAGTGGCATGACGATTTTTTTTAGTCTTCTTGTTATAGGTGAATGATGAACTGAAAGTCTGTTAATCTCTGTTAGCTGTGGTCTGTGTCTGAGGACATAGGCCAGCTCAAAATCAGAGTGCTTTATTTCTCCTCTGGTTCTCTCAGAGAAGTGGGATTTTGCACAGGCACGGGGATTTAGGACATTTATGGTGGTGGAAGCCACTGCTTACACTGGTGCTTCCTGGTGTATTGCCAAAGTGAAGTCTGCTAAATCATTAGGAGAAGTTTACTTGTGTATTTTAAAAATACCACTTAAAATATATTTTATTCTTTTCCAACACTCCTGAATCTCCATTCTTTCCCCTTCACAGCTATTTGCATCATATTGGTGCACTTACTGATAGAATACCGGCTTCATTTCTTACCAGAGAGCGTGGCTGTTGTTTCCTTAGGTGAGTAGCCATGACATTTTTGTGTTGGATTTGTGTTCATCCAGGGACTGTCAGTAGTGTGCACTGGAGATAATGCTGTGTTGTGTGTTAGCCATCACTGGAGATACAGCAAACTGCATTCAGTGAAGAAAACAAGTAATTCACAGAGTTACATTGATTGAAGAAATAAAGAAGTGAGCATGCACACAGAGACTGGCCCAGGAAAATGGCACCTGTAGGGATGTCACTGCCTGAGCACTGTGGCATCTTCCTCTGGTTTGCATCCTCAGGGTGGGACAAGATGTGCAGCACTCCCTGCTCATGAGGCTCCAGCCTTTGAGGTGGTACATGTGTTCATATTGGTGTTGGCAGATTAATGTCTGAGGTTGGGATTTTAATGTAGCTGGGGACTGCAGCTACCCCAAAAACTCACCTGGACTGCCAGATCCTTAGCTGTCCCAGAGGTACCATGACAAGAGCTCTTCCTATGGCTAGAGTCACAAGAGTGTCACCCTTCGTGGAGATCAAATGTGTACTTAATTTGGAATAAATTTGGAGTATTTCTGAGCCTATAGTTTTATGCCAGGGTAATTTAATTTATTTGTATGCTGTTGCTCCTGATTTATATATTTGTAATTGAGGAGCAAATCAGGCAAAATACATTTGTCATTTTCTCTGCTTCTGTCTGATTTTAAAGAACCTGGTCTGAGCGTTCCCAGCACCAATTTTTCAGCTGTGACTTGTCTGCAAGATTCTGTGATATTTTTGCTTCTCTTGCTGATGCTACTTTCACTGACAGTTGTTCTAAAAATACAAGAAGACAAAGATGCTTAGTTATAATCCCAAGGCAGCTGAAAGGACTATATTACTGGTTGAGCAGGTAGGGTTTTTTGATTTTGGGCTAGGCTGGTACCTTCTCTCATATTTCTTAGCTGTATTTTTACACAGTTTCTCATTTGGAGCAAGTGAGCTTCTTGGTGCTTGTCAGTAAGTTATGATTCCTGGAAAGCAGAGATCTCCTTGCATCTTGGGTGCTAGATTGAGAAGAGCTTAGAGCTGTTACTTGGCAGAAAGAGAAGCATGTTTTCCAGCAGTGTGACTCCCTGCATTTGTAGATAACTGTGTGTGCTGGAGACCACATCATGTTTCTCACATGGCAGATTTTGGAGCTTCAAGCAGCATTTACTTGCAAAGCCCTGAGTGAGTTTCAGTATTTCTGTTCAACAGAAAAACAAACAGGTGGGTGAGGATCCTGTCCTGGTGCTGGGTGTTGCACACTCCCCTGATCTTCATAGCAGCATCATTCATCCCTCAGCCTTTTGTGCCTTTGTGGTTCTGTGCCTGACTGATCAGAGCTGCTGCAGCTGTCCTGCCTCACGTTGTCATCCTCACAGGAACCACCCAGTGCTTGGTTCACTGCTGACACGCTTCCCTTTCCTTCCCTCCTTGCATTATTGCTGTGGACAGGTGAGATGTCTTGTGAGTGTATCTCTCAGTGTCCTGAAAGGTGCCAAAAGGACATCACTGTCCCTTCAGTATCCTTCTGCTTTGTACACAAAAACCCAAGTACAGGGTGTTGATTTGGTTTCAGATGAGGTTAGTTACCATGGCTGTTAAACAGCTAATTAAATTTAAACATAATCTCTGATATAAAATGCAGCAGTATAGTGATTGCTCTTGCTGGCTTAGTTTTGGATTGTTTTGCAATCATTCTGTGTATCCTGGGCAGTGCAGAGCACAAGTGTTGGGCCAGCTTGTGTCCCTGCTCCTGCTGAGCTGTGCAGAGCAGCAGAGGCACAGACATTCTCCTCTTTCTGTTTCTTGTTACTGGCGTCTCAGCTGCAGGAGAAGGGTTTTAGCTGTTGGATTTAGTAGTGGTGTGTGCTGTGCTCCTGTGAGCCCCAGCAAAATCCTGTTCAAGAAACAGGAAAGCTCCTTGCCAGGGCTGTTGCTGCTCTCAGGGTGGGTCAGGAGGAGCAGTGCTGCATCTCTTGTGTTCTGGTCAGAGGCTGTGCAGGAAGTGCTCAGCTGGGTTTTGGGGTGGACCACAGCAGTCTGTCCCCCAGTGAGGCAATGGGAGAGCAGCAGATGCAATTCCTGTGAGTCAGCAGGGTGTTGCAGCCAGGAGCAGCCCAGGTAACTGATGTCCTGTGTTATTGCAGCTTTATGGAGTTAGTTTGTAGGCTCAGTGTTTTTTGCAGTGCTCTGAGGCCTGTGGTAGTACAGCAGCTGTGTGACCCCTGCAGCTGCCAGCTCAGCCCTCTGGTCCTGCTAATGCTCTGCACAGCTGCAAGAGCACAGCTTGAGTTTCAAGTATCCAGTTTTGCCAGCAGTGCCAGAAGTGAGGTGTGTCCTGTTTAGACTTGTAAATTAAGTAAATCCTCTCAGGAAGTTATTGAAGGCTAATAAAAGTGGCAGCAGAGAAGAGAGGTATGATTTTCACAAGTGTTTTCCTCCCATTGTCTAAGCTGCTCGGAAGCTTCTGGTTTGTTTTCTGGAGGGTGTGTCTCTCCTGGTGGACAGGGTGGGAGTGCATTCTCTGAGGCTGGATTTTGATCCTCATCCTTATAAGTTGCTGGAATTTTGTTGGTAAAAATAGTTTCCAGAAATGTTTTTTCTCTTTGATTTGTTACTGAGTTTTAACATGTTCTCAGGAAAATGAAAGGTTAGTTGCGATAAGAAAATGCCTATAAAATTTTCAAAAAAAGGAAGTCTAGATTAACTGTTACAGACTTACCCTTCTAATTAGCCCCTTGACAAAACTGATTTAGTAGAAACAGCTGATCTAGACCTGCATTCATTCATTTTATAACAAAGAAAGAGTAGTTTGTAAATGTGTGTGGCACGTGAGTGGCTGTATCTGCATTCCGTCCTTCAAGGAGCAGCAGACCTTTGATGTTCCTTCATTTATGTTTTCCTCTTCCTTTCCATAGAAACCATTTCATGGAACAATTATTTCTACCCTCTGGGACCGATGCCTTCCCAGATTTTTGTATAAAGGAAGGCTTGGGCCTCATGGCTTTGTGTGTGTGACACATCCATCAGCAGTAATCCATGTGATTCTGTTTGTGAGACTCTTTTGTTAGCTGCAGCATGGGAGGAGGTCTCATGAGTTACAGAAGAGCACACTTAAAATGAGTTACAGGAAGGCATACTTCAGGCTTCTCAGACACTCTGTACCTTTCATTTGGAGTATTTGGCTTCTGTCCCAGTGTTTGACTGTGAAGTCTCCGTTCTGTAAATTATAAAACACAACTATGCAGAAGCACAGATCTGAAATCTGGCTGAAGACAAGTTCCCTATAACTACTTGAAAACAATTAATGACAGTTCATGAGTTATCTTCGTGACTTCCAGAAGAGATCTTGTTACAGTTTTGTGTTTGAAGATATATGGGAGGAAAGAGTGCTATAACCTTTAGCCACTGAGTTTGCAGCAGCCTTGATAAAATTCTATCTTCTGTATTTGCATTATTTCTACATGACTTAAACAGTGTGTAATTCATTTGGAAAACAGTTCTGACAGGATCTCCACCCTGATCAGAGTTTGTTGCCTTCTTCATTGCCAGAAAGTGCTATGATTTCATTCAAACAAAATTCACTTCTGTGGAGAAGACTGATTTCATTTAAGCTGCTTTAACTGCAAATAATATTGAAGTGACATGAAGCACAGATGCCTAACTCATAACTTCCTGATTCTTCAGCAAGAAAGGTGAAATTTCGTTTGAGTGCAGCTCAGATGTGAAGTGTTTTTGAGCAGTTAAGCCTGTTATCTTTCTGAACCAGTGAGCATCACACTCTCAGTCGTTCTGTTTGGAGCTGGGATATCCCAAGAGACAATCTGTTGTGCAGGGAAGCTCTGCAGTTATGTAACATATTGGAAACTGGGTATGTGGGGATTAAACCCAACACCACTCAGTGTTTTCATGGTTTAGGAATGAAACTGACTTGCTGCACTGTGTTTTGCCTTGTTTTCACTTCTAAAACTTGGAGAGCTGATAAACAGTGACACATTTCGTTGCTATTTCAGAATGTTTTCTTATTCTCTCCTAGGTATCCTTATGGGAGCTTTCATAAAAATCATAGAGGCTCAAAAGCTGGCCAACTGGAAGGTACAGTTGTAACAATTAATTTTTAATTGTAGAAAAATCCCTAAATCTTACGAAAAAGGCTTTGTAATACCTGTTCATTCGGGTTCACCACCAAGACCTTGTGCTTGTGGTGGTTCTTGGCTAGCGCAGCTGATAGGCAGAGTCCTCATGTTTCATTTTCCTCTGCTTCCACGCAGCAGAAACACAGTCCTTCCTTTCCATTGTTCTCAATTCCCTGTCCAGCTCTGGTTTCAGGGGCTCTTGTGGAGTGCAGTGGCTCAGCCCTGTGGGTTTGTTCAGGTGCAGTGGCTGTGCTGACAGGAGCACACACTCGTGGGCTGCAGCCTTGCAGTCCAAAGGATGAGTTTTGTTTTCTAAGCCCCCCAAATCCTTTAAGATGATTATTACTGGTACAGGCAGGCATGAGACTTTAAAGAGATGAGTACCTCTGTTTTGAAAGCTGGTGTTAGAACAGAACAGTCCATCAGCTGTTTACCCTGGGTTTAAACAAGTTAATCAGTGCTTGCGGAGGTGACGGCTCCTGCCTGACCAGGAGGGGAGAAGCAGGTGGGTAAAGAGACTGGCCCCTCAGCTGGGATTCATTTGCCTTCTGTGCCTGCTCTGCCAGCAGAAAAACCAGGGTGCCAGGCTGGGGGTACAGCATGAGCAGTGCAAGCCAGGGGATGAGATAAGTGACAAAGACTGAGGACACAAAAAAATAGCATCTTACCTCACGGTGGGTTCCATTTATATCACTGCGATGGCAAAAAGGAGCCATCAGAATAGTGCCATTCCATTCAGGCAGAAATGCCATTTGCTGAGAAGAACCCAGCCTCAGGCCCCTCAGGTGGTGTGTCACCTGAGCCTGGTCACCTGCAGGGGCACTGGGCTGGTGATGGGATTTTCTTGTCAGGTGATGAGTTTTCCAGTGAAACTCCCAGTTAACCTGTTCTGTTCAAACAGTGGCCAAGAGGTCACTGTTCCTTGGCAGTCCTTACAGATTTCCAGACTCTCAGATAAAGTGAGAATACTTTTTGTGGAACTAGGAAGATTTTTCCTGTACCATAAATAACCTGTTTTCTATGCAGCTTTTTTGGAGACAGTAATTTAAAATAAGTAACTCCTCGTTTTGTATCACTGGGTTGAGAAAGAACAATAGAAGTAGCAGCCCTGGAATAGTCTACTGTTCTGGAGTCTGCTACTTCATGATAAGAAGGGAGAAAGATTTTTCATTTCCCATCACTATTTTTTTAATAGCTTTATAGCTTTTCTTTTGGAAGATTTGATGTTAATTCAATAATGATGGTATCCCTGAAATTATAATGATTTTTTTTTCAGGAAGAAGAAATGTTTCGTCCAAATATGTTTTTTCTGCTTTTGCTTCCACCTATTATATTTGAATCTGGATATTCACTGCACAAGGTCAGTCCCTGCCAGACACTCATTTTGAATGTTGAGGTTTTGTCTGGAACAGATTCTGCTTTTAGTTATCTCCGTGAAGCTTAGGATAATTGCATTAAATTCCATTATATTAATCATTAGGGAATTGAGAGTGCAAAATTTAAACCTCTTGAACCCAGAGTGCAGGGGGTGTAGCTTGTTGCTGATAACTGAGTGCTGGCAAGGTGTCAGGTACAGCACAGCCGAGGTTTTCCTTGGCTGGAGAGGTTTCTTACCTCACAGAGCTGTACAAGGGCTGCTGTGAAGGAGGAGAAGTGGGAAGGTGTGAGATCAGAAGTGGGAAAGTGGGGTCACTCCACAGCTAAAGAAGAGGAAAATGTGTGTAGGGTTGTGACCCTTGCCTGGGGGCCCGTGCTTCCACGGGCATTTCTCACAGCTCTTGTCCTGGCTGAGGGGCTTTGGTGCTCCCTGGTGCAGCCCTTCTGCTCCAGCTGTGCTGCAGGAGAGGGAGGGAACGGTGGCCATGGTGGCACCAGGAGCTGCTACCAACACTGGAGACCTTTCCATACAAAACCACAAGCAATGGACTAGCAGCTGGGCAGTGTACAAGCCTTTTTCACATGCCCTGTCTCCAGCAGAGGGATTAACTTGCACTTTTGCCAGGTGGGGAATATGTCTAAGTGCTGGTGAACATCCAGCTGTTTGCCTGAGGATTGGGTTCTTGTTATGGTGCCAGACTGGGAATCAGTCCTGGAATCAGGGGGATTGCTGTTGTCCTCAGGAGAGCAGCAGTCTCTCTAGGCAGATGGTGTGGATGTGTGTCCTGGGGTACCTGGAACCAAACTGAGCCTTTCTAATCAGAAACCCAGCTGTGAGTTAGAATCTAATTAAATGGAAACCCAAACATGAGTCTTCCCTCAGGCCATTTGTACTAATTTACTTATTTTGTTACTGTGTTCCAGGGTAATTTTTTTCAGAACATTGGTTCCATCATTCTGTTCTCAGTGTTTGGCACTGCAATATCAGCTTTCATTGTAGGTGGAGGAATCTACTTCCTGGGCCGGGTAAGAATTACTGCTTTGAAGCACTTAAGTTTATCTGGCTTGTTGCTTGAAAGTCCCTTTTCCAAGAGCAGACAAACAGAGTGGAAGTGAATTCCTGGGTCACAAAGTCCAGTTCTCTGCTCTCACAAAGGCAGTGTTACACACCCCTTCCATGGAAATGCTGGAGAGGCTGTGGAGCCTCCTCCCTGGGACTACTCAAGGGCTCTCTGGACACGAGCCTGGTGACGTGTTCCAAGGGCCCTGTGGAGCAGGAGGGCTGGGGTGGGTGACCTCAGGGGTCCCTCCCACCCTGAGCCACTCTGTGACACAGCATGTGTCATGGGAAAAGCAATTAAGACTTGACTTTTACTTTTTCTAACTTGCCAATCTTCCTGTTGGAAGGCTGTTCCAAAACCTGTGTTCTCTAGAGCCATCTTATACTCTACAATATTTTTATTTTTTTTTGCTTCTGTGGTTTGGTGTTTCCCATTGGTTACATGTAGACACAGATATTTATCTTTTCTCTCAGACTTCATTCTGGAAGGCCAAGCATTCTACATTTTCATATTTGCCACTCAGATTTCTCTTGCTCTGAATGTCTTGGTTACTCTGCTCACCTGACTCTGCTCTAGTTCCCTGATCTTGGGTGACCAGAATTGTGGCAGTAGATTACTGTTGGAGGGCAGTGTTAAACTGGACAGCATCACTACTGTGCATTTTTCTTAATAATGAACTTGGGATTTGATGAATAGTTTGATTTTAAGAACAGAAGAACACCACAGTTAATTGTGATTATGTTCTGCCTATTCTTTCAGGCTGATGTAATTTATAAACTCAACATGACAGACAGGTAAGCTCCTGGGGAAATGGTGTAGTATATGAAATAAAGCTTTCTTCAGGATAGCTGCAGGTGGGAAATGCACTACAGTTGGCCATCTCCTTTGGTCAGTGTTTAGACTGCTGAGATTCAACATTGTATGTGAAACTAAGAAATAGATGGAACACTTCTATACCCTATTTATCACACCCTGATTTCCAAATAGTGTTGTATTATATTCCATTCTTTTGCATTCTAGTCTGTTCTGTTCTGTGCTCAGTGATTTCTTTAGAGACATACCGGGTATTTTAACCAAACTTTAAGATTTGTAAACCTTGATTAGTTGGTATTATTAATATTTGTGATAAGGGTATAACTTCCTTGTCCACTTCCCCTCTTAAAAGACAGAACAAATTTTTCAGAATCAATAATGTAAATTTTTCAAGAACTTGGCAAGTGGCCAAGTTCCTGTGACTGGAAAGAAATAACTTTGCAGAAACTGTAACACAAATGGGCTTTGTTACTGTTGTTCCTGTAAGTTACTAGTAGATGTTTTTCTTTCATCCAATTTCCTCTTTTGTGTTCTCCCAGCTTTGCATTCGGCTCGTTAATATCTGCAGTTGACCCCGTGGCTACTATTGCCATTTTCAACGCCCTCAATGTGGATCCTGTGCTGAACATGTTGGTTTTTGGAGAAAGTATTCTCAACGATGCAGTCTCAATTGTCCTGACCAAGTAAGTGCGTTGGAGCCGCAGTGATTGTGGAAACAGTAACTACATCATTTTCTGTTTGTTTTTTTGTGTGCAGTTGTTCTTCCATCTTCATTTGGAGCACAGTGTGTGTTTCAGGTGTGAGGCTGAATCTTGTGGGGTGCTTCTGTGTCAGAAGCAGTCCATAACATGCACTGCACGGGCAGGGGACAGCAAATGGTTGCCTCATTACCCTGCCTCAGTGCCTTATCTCCCTGCCCCTGGATCACTGATTCTTTCTAGTTCCATTCATTACCAGCTCTCTTTCCTTTGAGGGTCCTGGCAGCAGGAGCCCCACCTGTCAGGCACTGCAGTGTTCACCTCCCAGAGCTGCTGTGTCTCCCTGCCCTTGGCTTGTGCCCAGTGCCACTGTGGCTGGGGGGAATACAGCACATCCATGCCGTGGGGTTGAGTTTGTGTTGGGGCTGCAGGAAAGAGGAACATCCAGGATCCTTATCTTAGGCCTGTGGTGATTCTTTGGGGCTGAAAGGGTAAAGAATGGGCAGATAGATCTTCATCTTATTGCTGAAGCCAATAGATGACTGTGAATGTATAGAAGGAACAGCTGAGCCAAGCAGGTAGTGAAGTCAGAGCAATTTTCTAATGGATTAATTGCTTTGATTACAGTTGTGGTGCTTTCAGGGAAGATATTGAAGGCTAAAAGCAGCCAAAAGAAACATGAGCTAGAATCTGTGTGTTCTTTGCACAGAATTTTCATGAAATATGTTCCTGAAATTCAAAGAGGTTTCTCCCCTTTCCTGTTAAGAGCTGTTTTGTTTTCCTTCAGTGACCGTCTTGTCTCTCATCCACACCTAAATATTTGATGAGAGTTCTTCCTGTTCACATGTTCTTCTCAGAGGATCACATGAGTTTTTACCACTGTAAAATGTGTTTCTTTTCCTTCTCAAAGTTTGAACCTTGTTTTCAAACACTGGCCATCAGCATAGCCTATTTATGCCATTCTGGGATCCTTCAGAGGAGCAATGCTGGGTTTTTAGCAGAATTAGGTTTCCCTTTGGGGATTACACTGAGGCTTGATTTAACATCTTTTGACATTCCTCTTGTTATATATATCACAGTAAAAGCCTTTTAAGAGTGGTAGCAACAAAGGAATGGGAGTCTTTTTTGTTGTTATGCTCAAAAGATGTTTGATATTTTTGGATCCGGGCTTAGAATGTATAACCATTTCTTTTTATTTCTTTTAATTGTATCTAGCACAGCAGAAGGTTTGACAAGGGAAAATATGTCAGATGTAAGTGGATGGCAAACCTTCCTACAGGCACTGGGCTACTTTCTCAAGATGTTCTTTGGCTCTGCAGCACTTGGCACACTTACTGGTCTTATTTCTGCATTAATATCCTTTTTTAATTTTGGTGATATGTATGTATACATTGGTGAGCTGCAACATTCTAGTAGTATTTTTCTTCCCATCTTCTCCAGCATTTCATAGAGGATATTTCTTATTAGACATTATTTTGGTTTTATGTTGGTGTGCAAGGAAGTGTATTAAAAGTGGCATCAAATTTTTATGAACATAATTAAGGTCTGAAATGTTGTATAATAGCTTATGTGCATTGGAGTGTTATAAGATATGGTAATTGCTTTGTAAATTCAAAATATATTAATTCCATTTCAATACCAATCCATTTTAACAAGCATATGGCTTCTTTTTTATGTACATAAAACAGTTAATTAAAAAGGAAAAAAAGCTGCTTTTCCCTGGGGCCTTTGAGTCAGCCCAGCTCGTTTGTCCCTATGGATCACGTGCAGGCAGCTGAATGCAGACACTGTTCTGTTTGGATTTACCCTGGGTTCTGTTTTGCCTCTTCCACTCCCATGAACTGGTTGCTGAACAAGGCAGGAGCTGCTCTGCTGAGATCAGGAAAGCTGTTTGCTGTAGCCCAGACACCTTTGTTACTCTTTGGGCTTGTTTAATGCCAGCTCTGACTTCACTGTGTGCTCTGGGCTGTGCAGCTGTACCTGTGTCAGCTGGGACACACTGCCAAACACCTTGTTTGTAAACAACAGGAAGAGAATGTTTGATTAAATACACACTTATTTCCCCTTTTGATTCATCAGCATAATTCAGCAAACTTTGAAATTATCCCATACATCACAACAAAAGAGAGAGACAGATATTCAACATTTCTTTGACTCATATAAATTATACTAAGTGCAAGAGAAAAGCAGCTTGTTTGCCCTTTACAGTTACCTGTGCCTCAGAAGTATTTAATTTACCTGTTTTTATCAGTATTGTAGAGGCACATCAATAAGAGATCTTTTTTTGTCTCTAGCTCTGTCTTCTGACAGACTTCTACCAGCAGTAGCTTCTATAAGAAACATTCCTCTCATAAGAAATTACTAATCTTTCCATACTTGAGTTGAAGGCCAGTATGTAGATTTTATTGGCTATTCAGTAGAGAAGGACATTAAGCATAATCACTGTTTTGTACCGGAATGAACACATCAAAGTATTTCTTTGATTTGTTTTTTAATGTACTTTTTCCGTAACATTTCCGTGTGAACGTACTAAAGCACATTGATTTGAGGAAGACACCTTCCCTAGAATTTGGCATGATGATTATCTTTGCTTACCTTCCTTATGGACTTGCAGAAGGGATCTCACTCTCAGGTGAGTAGCAAAAGAGCTCTGACCACACTGATGTGTTAAAATACTTGTCTTGCTGCAGAAGCAGGTTTTGCCTTGTGAGAAGGTGACTCTGGAGGGTCTCAGCAGTCAGAGTCTTCTGCTGACTGCCACGTTCTTGCCCACAGGTATCATGGCAATCCTGTTCTCTGGCATTGTGATGTCTCACTACACACACCACAACCTGTCCCCGGTGACACAGATCCTGATGCAGCAGACACTCAGAACCGTGGCTTTCATGTGTGGTAGGTGCTGCCTGCCATTAAACCCAGTACTAAAGTTTAAAATTTCACTGCATGGAACGCTGGTTCTGCTGGCAGCAGCAGAGGGGTGAATTTGCATCCAGGCATTTGTGTGTCCATGGTGCTTGTCTTTAAGAGAAGAATTCCTGAGAGTGGAGGCTGCAAGGCACTCAAAAGTCACCTTTCCTGCCACTCTGGATAAAACTTGCAGTAAATCTCTCTCCCATCCTGCAGGCTCCTGCTAAGATTTGCCATAAGATTGATGGCCACACAGAGATCTCTGAGTGGTATTTTTAATGGTTTTTTTAATATAAAAAGCTACTTGCAAACCAGTATCTTCACATATGGAGGTTTTTGGAAGTAGTGGTACAAGCAGCTCAGTCCTAAAGCCTTTTTTCCAGTTCCTTTTGCAAACCAAACCTTTGAAGAAATGATATGTTCCTGCATTACAAACATGTCCCTGATTTCTGGGGGCTGCCAGAGTGAATTCTGTGTTGTTTGCAGGAGGATGCAGTGTGGCAGGGAGTGGCTTTGCTGCACAGGGAACTTAACCACTCCTTAGTGAGCACCAGCAGCTCTCCAGGGTTTGATCAGGAAATCCCATTTTATGTACTGTATGTAGTAATTAATAACAGGAATAGAAAAGGTTTTCTAGAATTGTTTACTTAAATGTGATTTCTCTTTTTCAGAAACGTGTGTTTTTGCATTTCTTGGCCTGTCAATTTTTAGTTTTCCTCACAAGTTTGAAATGTCCTTTGTCATCTGGTGCATAGTAGGTATTTACTTCCTTCCATATCTTTTTAGATGCATTTTTGGTACTGGGGAGGGGGAAACACCTTACAGTTAAAAGATTTTAGAATAATTGTTGTGATTTATAGGTTTTTATTAAAAATCCTCTGACTCCTTTTGTCTTTAAAGCCACTTCAGCATGCCTTAGTGCAGTGACTCTGTGGATTATGTTTCACATGGGGCTTGCCTCCACCTGTTGCCATTACAATGGTTTAATGTCAGCATTTGCCATAAGATTGATGGCCACATAGAGATGTCTGAGTGGTATTTTTTAATGTTTTTTTTAATATAAAAAGCTACTTGCAAAACCAGTAACTTCACATATGGAGGTTTTTGGAAGTAGTGGTACAAGCAGCTCAGTCCTAAAGCCTTTTTTCCAGTTCCTTTTGCAAACCAAACCTTTGAAGAAATGATATGTTCCTGCATTACAAACATGTCCCTGATTTCTGGGGGCTGCCAGAGTGAATTCTGTGTTGTTTGCAGGAGGATGCAGTGTGGCAGGGAGTGGCTTTGCTGCACAGGGAACTTAACCACTCCTTAGTGAGCACCAGCAGCTCTCCAGGGTTTGATCAGGAAATCCCATTTTATGTACTGTATGTAGTAATTAATAACAGGAATAGAAAAGGTTTTCTAGAATTGTTTACTTAAATGTGATTTCTCTTTTTCAGAAACGTGTGTTTTTGCATTTCTTGGCCTGTCAATTTTTAGTTTTCCTCACAAGTTTGAAATGTCCTTTGTCATCTGGTGCATAGTAGGTATTTACTTCCTTCCATATCTTTTTAGATGCATTTTTGGTACTGGGGAGGGGGAAACACCTTACAGTTAAAAGACTTTAGAATAATTGTTGTGATTTATAGGTTTTTATTAAAAATCCTGGCTCCTTTTGTTTTTAAAGCCACTTCAGCATGCCTTAGTGCAGTGACTCTGTGGATTATGTTTCACATGGGGCTTGCCTCCACCTGTTGCCATTACAATGGTTTAATGTCAGCATTTGCCATAAGATTGATGGCCACATAGAGATGTCTGAGTGGTATTTTTTAATGTTTTTCTAATATAAAAAGCTACTTGCAAAACCAGTATCTTCACATATGGAGGTTTTTGGAAGCAGTGGTAGAAGCAGCTCAGTCCTAGAGCCTTTCCAGTTCCTTTTGCAAACCAAACCTTTGAAGAAATGACATGTTCCTGCATTACAAACACGTCCCTGATTGCCATTATAATGGTTTAGTGTCAGCATGAGCAGTGTGTTCCCTCCTGCAGGGTGCAGGGAGGGCAGTGTGGGTGCATTTCCAGCTGTGTGCTGCAGTGTGCCCGTTCAGTTCAAGGGGAGGATTGTTACCTGCAGCTTCCCCAGACAGGGATATCAGCACAGGGAGCTGCTCTGCCTGCACTGCACACAGCTTCCCTAGCTAATGTATATCTAAGGTGTGACACTTCCTTCTGTGTGGCATTGCTCTCTCAGGCGTAATGCAAATTGTGTAATTCTGGGCTGATTCATAAAGGAAAACAGCACAGCCCTTCAAGGATCCTGCTGACTAATTCTAGGATATTTACCTTATCAAGGTCTGTTTGTAGTGGAGCTTAAAAACAATGCTCTGAGAAAACCTTGCCTTTTTCTGAGCTAAAGTTTTCTCTGTGTTTGTTAATTGTTTGCCATTAAATCAATAGTCCCCTTTTTTTTCTTTTCTGCTCTCAGAAGTGTTGCCTCAGTGTGGGGTATGTTTTATAGCCATACCCAGGGACATGTTGAGAAACAGGCTGACGTGCTATTTGTTTGGCTCCTGGCCTTTCTGAGCAACTGGGCCACGGGGAGACAATAGAAATACCTTATTGCCTCTTGGCTGCTGCACCAGGGGAATGATTAAAGGAGCTGAACTGAGGAGCACTTTTACCCAAAGTACTTCTTGGTCTCCCTGGAATGTCTCCTGGGTTCCATTTATTTACTATAAGGAAAGCAACTTGGTCTCCATCAGTGACAGGTCTGATTTCGTTTCAGTTAAGCAGACAAAATGTTTCAGGAGCAAAATTCCACAATGCCCTGTGCTGAGGGGTTTCTCTCTGTTCATGGAGCAGCACACCTGCCTGTGAGCAAAAAGAGCATATTCACCTTGCCCTGTAAACCCAGCTGCAACTGGGGCCTCGTGGATGCAACACATCAAATGGTCTTTTGCTTTTATTTCTGTTTTCCAGGTGCTGGTTCTCTTTGGTAGAGCAGTGAATATTTTTCCGCTTTCCTACCTACTCAACTTTTTCCGTGATCATAAAATCACTCCCAAAATGATGTTCATCATGTGGTTTAGTGGTAAGTTAAAGCTCAGAATACTGAGAACCAGAAAAATGTTTTATCTCTTTGATTGTGTGGCCCACTCGAGGACGAACTGGTTTCTCATTGGCTGAGCAAAACTCAGCTGAACATTTGCACTATTCTGGAACCCAAGTGCAAGGAGATCTTCTCTTTCCCCTTTGTGCTGGAGGACTTTGCTCTGCTGAGCCCCACGAGAGCTTTTCTGCGCGGAGGCTGCTTGTCTGTCTAGGCCCAGCAGCTTCCCAGTTTGAAGAGCAGCGTCTGAAATGCAGACTTGTTTAGGGGGGCAGCCAAGGGGCCGATGCTGGGCATGGCACAGGATTGCAAAGGCCCTTTTTTGGGGGTGCAGGGTTGCTGTTGGGGCCTCGGGGTGCCCAGGTGTCGCTGTTGGCTGACTCTGCCTCGCTGCCCTGTTCTCTCCCCCGAGGATTGCGTGGTGCCATTCCCTATGCCCTCAGCCTCCACCTGGGCCTGGAGCCCATGGAGAAGCGGCAGCTGATCGGCACCACGACCATCATCATCGTGCTGTTCACCATCCTGCTGCTGGGAGGGGGCACCATGCCCCTCATCAGGCTCGTGGACATCGAGGACTCCAAACCGCGCAAGAGGAGCAAGAAGGACGTCAATCTTAGCAAGACAGAGAAGATGGTTGGTTTGGGGGTTCTTTCAGAGCACCACTGGGCTTTCCTGGGGTTTTTTTTCAGCTCAGACACTCTTCAGGACTAGCACACGATTTTTTACTGAAAAGTAAGATGAAGGCAGTAGAAAAAGCCAAGGTAATAGGGCAAAGCCAAGCAATATAATTTTAAAATATCCCAAAGCCAGAGTTTGGTTAGTGTTTGTACAAAATACGTGTTTGGACAAGAGGAGGAGAAATAGTCTCTTAACTCAATCCAATTACAGGCTGATCTGTATAAATTAAAGTAATCCCTGCAAAAGCATAAAGCAGATAATAGAGCATTGAGTCATGTACAGAGAGAAAGTAGTTGGTACAGGGTGAGATGGAAATTAATCATAAAAGGCAGATAGAAATTACTTTGAAAAATTCAAAGGCCATGAGAAGGTCATAACAATAGCCCCCTCTGACTGGACTTTATTTTAAAGCAATTTCTGGCAAAGCAAGAGATCTGGCAAAGCCAAAAGCCACTCTGGAACCTCTTGTGCAAAAGATGAGAATAAAAAGTATCACAGAACATTTTTTCCCTGTTTTTCTCTAAACCATTGAAGAGTATCTGTAGGGTGTTGTTCTGGAGGACCTTAAGAACATTTTCTCTTTGCATGAGGTTGGTTGTAGTCTTTAGAATTACCTTGCACTGCCCACACAAGGAATGCTGGCAGGGTGCAGGGACAGGGCTCGTTTTCAGTGGGACAATGACAGCAGTGGTGCTTGCTGCATTAAAGCATTGTCCAGCTCACAGAGAAAACCTGCACAGTAGAAACCTGTTCTCAGCAATAGTGACAACACAAAACATGGAACATTTGAGGTCTTTTCCCTTTCAGCATGGAAAGGGAAGCTAAGTGGCTCTGGGATTCAACAGCTGAACAGACTCATACAGTGCTAAGCCCTGCAAGGCTGGGATGGGGATCATTGCCATGTTGTGCCAGCAGGACAACTGGTTGTGGCAAGGGAGACCACAGAGCAGGGGCTGAAGCAGAGTGGTGGGACGACTGACTGCCACTTCTCTTGGGTTATTCTGATCTTTGTGATTTTTCTAGGGAAACACTGTAGAATCTGAGCATTTGTCAGAGCTCACAGAGGAGGAATACGAAGCCCAGTACATAAAACGCCAGAACCTCAAAGGGTTTATGCGGCTTGATGTGGAGTATTTGAATCCTTTCTTCACCAGAAGACTCACACAAGAAGTAAGTCTTCCTTATTTTCTTGAAGAAGAGAAACTGGTCGAGTTGGTTGTCCTCAGAACCACACAGGGCTCATGGTGCACATGACTTGTGTGGGGACAGAGGGACATCTGTGTATTGCTCATGCATAGAGAGAGCAGCTGTAATGAGCAGCTGCTCTGTAAGGTGGATTAAGTGAGCATCTCAGAGCTCCCCCAGTTAAACTTGGTGAATGGATTTGCTGAACTCGCCCTTAATGGGGCAGGGAGCCATGAAGGGCATCAGGAGTCACTGGCTGCTGCTGCTGCCACTCGGGCAGAGTTTTTAAAGTGCTGTCACACACAGTTCCTGCCTCTTACTGTCAGTGGTCCTGTGCCTTCTGGAGCTGTGCTGTGGCTGCAGAGTGCAGTTTCTGTCTTGGACATAGGCACCAGCATTGCACCCTGTGCTCTCCAGACTGCTCACTTCCCAGAGACAGGGCTCTGGGGCTGGACATGCAAAACAACACCTGACAGTAACTTAACACTGAGTGGCCCCAAGGTGTAAATACTGTGCCTTTTTCACTCCCATGCTTCAGAAATCTGAGGCTCCTTAGTCACAGAATTCACTGTTTTTCCAATTTCCCATGGAAGCATTTTGGCTATGGAGTTGATAATTTTGTGTAAGTGCACATTCCATCTTCCTAGCCTGATCAAAAGTACTGTTTTTCCTCTTGTTTTGTACTTTTCAAAAGTACCATTTCAGCACTTTCCTACAAAAACTAGGGTCATTTATTGCAAAACCAGAAAGGAATCAAGAAACCAAAGTAAACATCTGATTCGTAGTTGGTAGCCAAAAGCACAGGCTGCCATCCAGATTGCAACCAAAGGCTGGAAAAATAAGCATGTGAATCACCGTGGCAGGCCACAAGCTTCCCCGTGTCCCTGGGAGCACGAGGGGGAGAGTCAAAGCCAGCATTAGGATTGCTGAAACACAGAGCAGGACTGTCTGGAGAACACAGGTAGAAACACCCAGCAGCAGAGCTGTCATCTGTAGCAGCAATTAGTGACCGAGCACCTGAGCAGTGTTTCCTGTTGGGAGGCAGAGCGTGCTCCCAGGGCAGGGGCGGATGCTGTCCCGAGGGGTGTGAGCTGCCCTGGCCCTGCAGAGCCCCGGCGCGGGGCTGGTGCAGCGGTGCCAGTGCTGTGCTTGGCTTTGCCCAGGACCTGCACGACGGACGCATCCAGATGAAGACCCTGACCAACAAGTGGTACGAGGAGGTGCGCCAGGGCCCCTCGGGCTCCGAGGACGACGAGCAGGAGCTGCTGCAGCAGAGCGGGGCCGGGGCACGCTGAGCGCGCGGCCTGCGCCGGAGCGGCCGAGCCAGGCCGAGCCGGGCCGCTCCAGGCCGAGCCCGGCCGCGCCAGGCCGAGCCAGGCCGAGCCAGGCCACGCCAGGCCGAGCCTGCACGCGCGCTCCCTGTCCAGGGGAAACCGCAGCTCTGCTGCCGCCGGTCAGGAGGGGAAACCCTCGAGGGTCAGACGCTGGGTGGGCTGAAGGGAGAACCTTTTGCTCAGGCTGCAAATTCCAGGCAGCCCGTTGGAGAGCAGAACCCTCTGCCATGAAATGATGACATTGTTAACGAGGGTGGGCTTCTTCCCGTCCCAAAACCTGCTGCGACCACACGCTGCAGTGCAGGGCCCGTGTGCGGCTCTGCAAAACAACAAATTGCACTTTACCTTTTATATATGTATAAATATATTCATTCACAGCATGAAGAGTCCTGACAGTTTATACTGTGAATTTATTTCAGCACTAGTAAGGGAATCTGACTGGAAGAAACGTATAATTTATGGAATTTGCACATTTTGAACCCAGAAAAGATGCATACCTTGACAAGAGCAATGTTGTACATACAGGGAATCACCTCTGAAAATGCAGTTTTGTCACTTAAGAAATCCGTGATTTCTGTTCTATGGGATTTTCTGGTTTTTATAGTAAGGGATCTGATCCACAGTACTGATTATAGCATGGTTTTGGGGAAATGGGTTCTGTGACAGCACAGAGCTGCGTTTGAAATTGTAGTTTCCTTTCTTTGGCTAAAGCCAGTTGCAGTTGGGTTTCTATAATTGGCAGTTGCTCCCTGCTGGCACTTCAGCTTCAAATCTTAGAAAAGAGCAGCTTCAGTTTTGCCTAATTTATGAAGTGTCCCTAACACTCCAGAATTCACCTGTGGAATTTTTAAGCCTCAGTGGAAGCAAAAGCAGCACATACATCAGGAAAAAGATCCTACAAAATCTAATCCAGGTACAGAAAGATTAATATTGCACGTGGCTGAAGCAGCCTCTGCTGGGAAGTGCCAAACAGCTTCCATTAAGCTGTCCCATTTTTCTCTTCTGCTTACACTGCTTCAGAATCTGTGTTATCACTGCATTTGTTCTCCATGGCCCAGTGTTTGCTCAGCCTTGCCAACACCTGAACGTGTTTGTTGCACGTTTGCCATGGTGACACATGCAGCAGTTTGCTGCCAAATTCCTCCTTGGTCGTTTGCATATCCACTGCCAGGATGTGAATTACAGTTCAGCACCCAAATCTGACAGGCAAATGCGCACGTTTGTTTCTGAAGATGGGAGGCTTAGTTTTGGTCTGGTTTTGCTGCTGAGTTTTTTAATCCACTGCTTACCTACCGAGAGAATAAAAGTTCAAGAATGTATTCAGAATCCCGCACCTGTTGTCTGAGCAGTTTTTCAAAATACCCCATCTTGTCCCCTGCCGCCCTTCCCGTGCCTGTGCCTCACTGCTTGTCCCGGGGCTGTGGCAGCCGCGGTGCTTGTGTCACCCCCGGGTCTGTGTGACCATCAGCCTGTGTCACCCGTGCAGACCCCAGCAGACGGAATTCGCTTACCGTCACTCCTGCTGTTCTCACCTTCACGTCCGGGAGCTGCAGCTCCTCCGGGGCTGCCGCAATGCCCCCGTCCCGCTGAGGTACCCGAGGGCCGCGGCCCCCGGCCGTTCCCGCTCCCTCCCGCTCCCCCCGGCAGTTCCCGGTCCCTTCCGTCGGTTCCCGGTCTCTCCCGGTCCCCCCCGGCCGTTCCCGCTCCCCCCTGCCGTTCCCGGTCCCTCCCGGCCGTTCCGTTCCCGCTCCCCCCCGGCCGTTCCCGGTCCCCCCGTTCCGTTCCCGCTCCCGGCCCGGTGGCGCCGCCCCCGCCGCCAGGTGCGCTGTTCGCTGCCGCCCTCTGGCGGCGGGCGGCGGCAGCGCCCCGGGCCGCGCTCGGTGGGCGCGGGGATCGCTCTGAGGATCCCGGTGAGACACTGCGGATGCTGGGTTTAAAACCAACTGTTCTCAAACGTAACATAATATTACCTTGTCAAAACTTGGAGTTAAGCGTGTGTTCTGGGAGAGCAAAGCTAACTCTCTCGTTTGGGAACAAAAGGAGTCTTTACCATAGTGTCCAATGCTTATATTCATTCATCAATACAATGGCCTTTCTGTCAGTCATTTCTCCTTTTGGAGTTTTCACTTAATATGCTTAAAAAATAAACATTCTTCATTGACATTTCTGGCAGTTACTTTAGACAATTTCCAGTTTTATCTGACCAATATTAAACCCTAACCCTCTTTCCACAAGTTAGCTCCTCCTTCCTAACTTGATGTCACCTGCAAACCTGTGCGAGAGTGAACTTGATTTCTTAATGCTCTCAGCTGGGGCAGGGGCTGCTGCTCGGTGAGCTCTGGCTAACCCTCCAGGCTGCAGAGATGCTGCTTTGCTTTGCACACCAAAGCGCTCCGGGCTGTTTCCAAAGCTGCCACAACCAGGAGTCCTCACCTGCCCCTCGGGAGCCCAGCCTTTGGGGAGCCAGAGCAGAGCTCTGACCTGTGCTGATTAAACACCTTTTGGCTTTTCCCCGTGCCTGTGCCCCCAGGTGAGCTCCCACCTGAGGCGTTTCCAGCTCTGGGGCTGCACCTAAGGGTCAGTGGCACAGGCTGAGGCCACAGGAGGGGACACAGCGCAGGACCAGGGCCACGTGCACCCTCAGCTTTGTGCAGCAGCCCGTTCTGGAGCTGCACAAGGGCCTGACTGCAAAGCCTCCCTGGGCGTTACTGAGGGCAGCTCTGGTTTGAGCTGATGGGATTTCCATCAGGCTTCACCCTCCAGACTGGAGCAGGAGGTGGATGAGTTTTGGGGTCCTGCTGGAGCACAGAGCTGCTGGGGAGGCTGGTCCTGCTCCCAGTCCTGCCCCTGGACAACACCAGGAAAGCAGCTGAGAGCCCCAGCTGGAAGCATTTTTACCTTCAATTATCCACCACAGGCAGAAGGAATTAAACCATTTGGGGCAATGAAGCTGGAGCAATGCTGGGTGGGGGAGCTATTTAAAAAGCAACTGCACTAAAATATCACCACATTTGCACAACTCAGAGTTTAAGGCTTCACTTTCCCTCAAACTACACGTTAATTTCCATCACTCAGAACCACTGCAAGAAATTTCTGCTGTGTTTGATTTTCACAGTCATGTAAGGCTTTGCTGACTTTCCTTGACAGCCACCTTATTCCCCATTTTTCCTCTCCTAGAACAGATGGTGTCCCTGCCACCTTGGCGTTGTAGCTGTGCCCTCAGACTCCCAAGCAGGCCAGCACATAGTGGGAAATGCAGAATCCACAGTGCAGCCCCCAGGCACCAAACCCACCCCAAGGCAACCCTGGCTCCATTCCTGCTCCATGCTCTCACTGAGCAGAAATACAGCACTGCAGCACGACCAAACCCAAGGAAATTGGTTCTTGCAATCAGGAACCCTCTTCCAAACCCTGCTGGGCCTCGGCTCGAGGGTGAAGCCACCACCCTCTTCTCAGGCTCAGCCCACCAGCAGCACCAGGGGAGCTGCCCGAGACAGAGGGGTTGTCTCTAATCCTCAGTAATTGGTGGCAGCTGTCAGCACCATTCCCAGCTGGGGACACGGCTACATTGGCCCCAGCTGTGCCATGCCCCGCGGGATGGAGTCAGCCTGGGCAGTGCCAGACCTTGGACTGGCTGTTTGGCCTGGCCACAGCACATGGAGTTTGTTGGGGTTTGCTGGGTGGCTGCAGCTCCTCGGCCCGTGGCAGCAGGAGGGTCTGGGAATGGAGATTAGACACCCCCAGCACTGGGGCTCAGTGTGGGGCATGCTCACACCGACCTGTGCATGAAAACACTGATCTGGATGTTTTCTGGACTAATAAAGGACTTGGGGGATTGGCAGGTCATTATCTTTCTCCCTGTCTTCTTTAGATGATCTCTGGAGCACCGGATTTTTAGGCAGCAGAGGCCAAAGCCGTCGGCCAGGGGGCTGGCAGGAGGAGCAGGGACCCAGTGCTCTGTCCCCAGGCCTGGCACAGCCCAGTGTCCATGCTGGCTGGTCAGTCCTTGGTCCCTGTCCATCCCGGGGACATGCCCCGAGAGCCCCCAGGAGATGGCAGCAGCCCTTCGTGTTTGTGTCCTCCAAGGGGAAATCGGCCCTGCTCCCTTTCTGGATGCTCCTCTCCACGGGCAGCAGCGGGGTGGCCCGGGATGGCCCGGGGCACACGCAGGGCTGTGGCAGGGTCCCGTTGCTGCCGGACACAGCGTGTTTGTGGCACTCGGGAGGCCGGGCTGCCAGGCTCATGGTGCCAGGTGCCCGTGCCCAGCCCATGGGCTGTGCCCCTCTCTGCATGCTGGCCCGTGGCACCCAGCCCGGGCACGCTCTGCACCGTCCCCATCGCATTCCCGTTATCCTGGAGTGCAGCCGCGGGCAGCAGCGGGATGGCTCGGGATGGCCCGGGATGGCCCAGGATGGCCCGGGATGGCCCGGGGTGGCCCGGGGCACACGCAGGGCTGTGGCAGGGTCCCGTTGCTGCCGGACACAGCGTGTTTGTGGCACTCGGGAGGCCGGGCTGCCAGGGCAGAGCAGGCTCATGGTGCCAGGTGCCCGTGCCCAGCCCATGGGCTGTGCCCCTCTCTGCATGCTGGCCCGTGGCACCCAGCCCGGGCACGCTCTGCACCGTCCCCATCGCATTCCCGTTATCCTGGAGTGCAGCCGCCAACACGGAGCTGAAGTGAGTCTGACGCTGGTTTTGCATGGGTGGATTTACTTTAGAAATGACAGCTGGAACGGGATGAATGGTCAGTGCAGACATGTGAGATGCCCTGGGGAAGGGGCACAGGGAGCTGTCCAGGTGGGGTCATGCTGTGGATGGCTTTGCACCAGGCTCTGGCACAGCTTCTGGTTCCTTTTTGTCCCAGGCTCTACCCAGGGTGTGCTGCCCTCGGTGACCCCAAAGGCCAACTAATCTTCGGGATGCTGCAGCCCAGGCAGCTGCTGCCCTGTGCATGAGCTGCCCCGCTGTCCCAGCACCGGGGACACCCTGCAGCCACTGTCCCTTCTCCACGGTGCTGCTCACCCACAGATTTGCAGTTCCCTGCCTGCAGATCATTCCCTGGGACTGCCACTGCTCACTCCAGGATTATTGTAACCCCAAATCCTTGCTCTAGAGGCAAGCTCCCATTTCTGTCTGTAGGACAGTGGTGGCTTCCACTGCAGTGGAGGGAGCAGGGTAGCACATCTGGCACAGAGAGCAGTCCCAGGGACCTGGAGGGAGGTGCTTCCTTACCCCAGGTGAGGTAGCTGTGTGGACAGTGCCACTCCCCAGCAGGACACAGGTGGCTGTGGGGGCTGCAGGAGCTGGCACTGGAGGTAGATTCCCCTCAGGGCCTCCTGGCCCCCAGCCCGCCCTGCCAGGCACGATTTTTCAGACAACCAAGTTCCTACTTGGCCATCAGAGCACCAGGTTGGAAAAACAAAGGCCAAGGGCCCAGAGAGCAAACTGCAGGAGAGACTGTAAGCTGGGCTGCACCCTGGGCACATCTCAGGCACTGGGCTCTGTTTTTGTTCTTGTTTTTGCGAGTGCAAACACCAGGCTCAGGGCTGCAGGAGCCAAACCAGAGGGGTTGGTCTGTCATCTTCGTGTCGCTTCAGGTGTGGAACGTCTGGGACCCTCAGGGCACGGGGTGAGAGAATGCTGGTTTGGGTTTGTGTTCCAGCGCCCTGCTAGGACACAGCCGGGCAGGGCCGGGCTCAGAGCAGCTCCTTGGCCATGGCCGAGGGCAGGGCCTCCCGTGCCACGCTGGCAGTGCCCAGGCCTGGCCACCTCCGTGTGAGCAGCACCACCACCTGCACCGTCCTCCCGAGCCCCGGCTGCCCCGCGGCCCCGCCGGCCAGCACGGCCAGGGGCCCACGCCGGGCAGGGCCGCCGGGCAGCCGGGGGGGAGCGTGGCACCTGGGGCAGCCGCTGAAACGCTCAAAAACCTCACTGCAGCTGCTGCAAGCGCCGGGGCAGCACAGGAGGCTGTGCAGGGCCCGCAGCAGAGCCCCGTCCTTGGACAGCAGCTCGTGGAAGCTGGGCTTGAGCAGCAGGTACACCAGCGGGTTGTAGAGCGCCGAGGACTTGGCAAGGACGGCCGAGAGCACGAAGGCCAGCGCCGGCACCTGGCTGGCGTCCCCCAGCAGCGCCCACAGCGCCAGCACGGCGTAGGGAGTCCAGGCAGCCAGGAACCCCAGGCACACGGCGATGCTCAGCTGCAGAAGGAGCAGAGCAGATGGTGGCACCGTGAGCTTCCTGAGCATTCGGGGGATGCTGACACCCCCCAAACCCAGCCACATGCGGCAGGATCCTGAGCAGCCCTCACGCCCCCAGGGAAAGGTGATCTGCCTTCCGGACCTGGAATGTGGGAGAGCAGGGCAGCAACTCAGCACAGACCATGCACAGACCTGCTCCTTCTTCAGGCCACTCGTGCCCTGCCCCGCCTGGGGAGCTCGGGAATGGCCTCAGGCTGCTGTGCCAGGTGGGTGCAAAGGACCCAGTGACCTGGCAGGACCAGCTCAGCCTCTGACCCCAACAGCTTTTGGCAGCGCTGCAAATCCCTCCTGCAACCTGTGTGGCTTGGGAGGCCTGGAAGTGGGCTGTGCTCAGTCCCCCTGCCCTGAATGGATGTGGATGTTTCTTTTGGAGCCAGGCTTGCAAGTTGTTCTCTTTCTTGCTGGGTTTTTTAAAGGTTATTCGGGGTTTTTTACATATTCTTGGTAAATTATAGTATTAGCTTGTAGTCTGGGGAACAATGACTCATGCAAGCTCCTTTATGATCTTTTCCAATGTAATTTAAAATGAAAACTCCTCCACCTGATGACTTTAAATGAGGAGCTGACACAAACACCTGGAGAATTCCTCAGGAACAGCAGACGCCGGGCAGGAGGGGCCCTGCTGCTCACCTGCCCATGGGCAGCGGGCTGGGCAGGGCACCCCGTGACCCCACAGCCCCCAGTTCCTGGTACCTTGAGGAGCAGCCGCATTCCCTGTTCCTTGAGGAACAGTCCCCATTTTCTGTACCCCAAGGAGCAGCCCCGTTCCCCGTGTTCCCCATGTTCCCCGTCCCCTGAGGAGCAGCCCCGTTCCCCCTGTACCCTGAGGAGCAGCCCCGTTCCCCGTGTTCCCCATGTTCCCCGTGTTCCCCCTGTTCCCCGTACCCTGAGGAGCAGCCCCGTTCCCCATGTTCCCCGTACCTTGAGGAGCAGCCCCGTTCCCCGTGTCCCCCGTACCCTGAGGAGCAGGCCGTGCAGGCCGCGGGCCCCGCGCCGGGGGGACGTGTGCTGCCTCACGGCTCTCCGCGACGCCCACACCGTCCACAGGATCAGCGCGTAGGACGCCAGGATGAGCAGGCAGGGCAGCAGGTAGCAGAAGATGAAGAGGGCGAGGATGTAGAGCATGGCCCCCCGGCCGGAGGCCTCCCAGGTGACGCAGCAGGCTGTCCCGTAGGGCTCGGGGCCGTAGCTGCCCCAGCGGGCCAGGGGCGCGCTGGCGAAGGCCAGGGCGTAGGCCCACACGGCCGGCAGCAGCCCGGCGGCGTGGCCCCGCGAGAACCTGCTCCCTGCGGCGTGGGGAGGGCTCCTGTGGGCCAGGGGCAGCGGAGAGGGAGCTGCCCTGAGGCACCCACAGCCCCAGCCCCGGCACAGGAGCCCGGGGAGGCGCTGGGGGCCGGCCTGGGCCGGCCGCGCACCCCTCGGGCCGGAGGAGCAATGCCGGGGCTCCTGTGCTCATGGACACTGCCGGGGCTCCTGTGCTCATGGGCACTGCCAGGGCTCCTGTGCTCACTGCTGGGGCTCCTGTGCTCATGGGCACTGCCAGGGCTCCTGTGTGCACTGCTGGGGCTCCTGTGCTCATGGGCACATCCGGGGCTCCTGTGCTCACTGGGCATTGCCAGGGCTTCTGTGCTCACTGCTGGGGCTCCTGTGCTCACTGCCAGGGCTCCTGTGCTCACCAGGCATTGCCAGGGCTCCTGCGCTCACTGCCGGGGCTCCTGTGCTCACTGCTGGGGCTCCTGTGCTCATGGGCACTGCCGGGGCTCCTGTGATCACTGCTGGGGCTCTTGTGCTCACGGGCACTGCCAGGGCTCCTGTGCTCACCAGGCATTGCCAGGGCTCCTGTGCTCACTGCCAGGGCTCCTGTGCTCATTGGCACTGCCAGGGCTCCTTGAGGCCACCCAGACCCTGCCACCTGAGGGACCTTTCCCTCCCTGCAGATTGAAGCTCTGGGGGAGATATTTTGTTTTCATTTTTGTCCCAACCCCCATCGAATCTCAAACTCTCTGATCTTCTAAGGCTCGCTGTAAAGTGCTGTATCTTCAGACATTGATAGAAATAACATTTTGCTTTGAAACTAAGCAACTAAGAGCAAGATGTGATTCTGCACTTCCTCACAGGAGATGGGCTGGGCTGTAGGTAAGCCCAAGTGCCAGGCTGCCAAGCACTGGCTGATCAAGAGCAGAGGCTGTGCAGGGAAAAGCCACAGCCACGTGGGCTGCCTTTCCACAGCCAGCCTACACCTTCATCTTTCCTCCCACCTTTTTAGCCACCTCCTGAGCTGCAGTGCTGGCACCAAGGTGGCTCTGCTCCAGCACTGTCCTTGAGGCACTGAGAGCTGCTGGGGACACACTGGTGGCTGGCAGCAGACACTGGCTCTGAGCACACGGGCAGTGAGTGGGGGAGAGGGGGATAGGAGGGACCCTGGGGTGCTGGTCTGCAAACCAAACTGATATGTATGATTTCCCATTTTGTTTCTGTTTTTGGTCTTTAATGGAAAGTCTATTCTGAAGATAAATGCTAGAGGGAGGATTAGCAGCTGAGCTGAGGAAATTAAGGACTCCAAATTGGAGTAGGAGCTGTGTAAGGAAGATCCATGGCTCCCTCACTTCCTCAGGGGCTCTCTGCAGTGCAATCATTCACCTTAGCTCTGTGGAGGACATGCAGGTGAAAACAGGGCTACAGACATGAGCTGTGACACTGCAACCCCAGCCCTCCTGTGTTAATTATTTCAGTGAATTAAATACATTTAGCCTATGGCTCTCCCACCAGGGACCAGGGAAAGCAGCTCTCGTTGCTCTGCCAGAGCTTGTGGCTTCCCAGCTGCAGTCTGCTCTAGCCTAAGCTCAAGTCTGTGTATGGACCTTCAAAAACCTGCAATCTGCTGTGATACAGCCACACAGACCGGGGACATGGTTTAGAGCTGGACTTGGGGAGTCTGTGGTAACAGCTGGACTCAATGATCTTATAGATATTTTCCAGCCTAAACTTATTTCTGTGATTCCGTGACAAAATATTGACTGGGAACGAGTTGCCCTGGGGCAAAGCTTTCCCTGAGGAGGTGGATGCGGCTCATGAAAGGAAAAGGGCTCTGTTAACCGGGCGGGGTGTGAGTGGGGATCGGATAACGCATCCCAGCACCTACCGTATGCCGGGTAGCAGACCTTGAGGCAGCAGAGCGTGCTGAGCACCGTCAGGCTGCCCAGGCTGCACAGCCCGAACAGCACCCCGCAGAAGGCGTAGAGCGTGCACAGGGCCTGCTCGAAGAGCCACCTGCAAGGACAGCCTGAGGTGAGCCCGTCCCTGCCCCGGCAGCCCTGCCCTCGGCTGCACCGGAGCTTCTCCTGTCTGGGAGAAGCATCCTCCCATTCCTGCAGCAGAGCTGGGCTCGTGTGGGAGGCTCCAATGGGCTGCACGCTGCCAGCACCTGAGCAGCAAATATGGGCACGGCCTTGCCCTTGATTTGTTCCCTGAGCACCCCAAAGGTGCCCGTGGGTGGAGCTGGGGGTGCAGGAGCTGCCCTGACCCACAGCAGCTCCCACCACTGCAGTGCCGGCTTGGGCAACCACCCGCAGACCCCCTTTGCAGTGAGGAGCTGCAGGGACAGGGAGCAGCAAAGCACAGGCTGTGGGATGGCTGCCTGGGAGCTGACGTGTGCCCCCGTGGCACCCTGAGCCCCTCTGCACCTGCCGGGGCTCTCCTGGCTCCCTGGCAGTGCCACCGGGCCACTGGCCAGGGCAGAGCGGCTCCCACGAGGTACCTGTGTGCGAAGAAGGAGGAGGTGGCCAGGGGGAAGAGCGTCACCGTCATGCTCAGGTCGCTGACGGCCAGGTTGACGATGAAGAGCTCGGCAGGTTTCAGCAGGGACCTCTTCTGATGGGCCACCAGCAGCAGCAGAGAGTTCCCAGACAGGGACAGGACGCCTGTGGAGGAGGCAGAGCATGGTGCTGAGTGTGACAGAGCCAGGACAGCACCAGGAGCATCCTGAGATGTTTGGAGGGAAACACTGCGGAGGTCTGCAGAGCGTGGAGAGGGCTCCAGGCTTCCCTCTCTGGGGTGGGCTGAGCAGGGGAGCCCACGGGACCCACAGAGCTCTGTGAGCACATCTGGAGCTCCTTTACGTTGGATTGGATCCCTTCCCCTCCCTGAGATCCCACAGAGGTGTTTGGTAAGAGGGCAGAGATGGGATGAGGCTGCAGCAGGCTCCGGGTGCAGGATCTGGCCGCAGTCACTCGCTGCAGCTGAAGGAGCAAGGGGCACTTCCTCCCAGCTAGATAAACAACAGGAGCTCTGTGACTGCTCCTCTGATGTGGGGCCAGCGAGCTGGGCCCCTTGGCCTTCGCAATTTCTTCCTGGCAAAGTCACTCCTGTGAGTCTGCACTGTCCCATATCACGGTAACAAAATAAACAAGAAGAAAGGCATTGTGAAGATCAAGGAAAATCCAGACTAAACAAAAGAAGGCTCTTTGTTTGCTATTAATGTATTTAAATCAACAGTGGTGATTTAAGTTTTATAATAAGGGCTTTCTCTTTTTCATTACATAATTGTGATTTCATGGAAAAGAGGTTTCAGTGTCCTCAGAAGGGGAATCATTGCTGCTTTTGGGGCAGGTTGAGCAGGGTAAGAGTTCCTCCCTAATGGATTATGCTGCAATTAAATCTCATGGCAAGAACCCACTTCCAAAGCCACTGAATGGCCAACACTGAGCTCCCCTCAGGGAACAGGACTCCCACGTGGGATCTGGGCAAATCCAGAGCTCTGGAGGATTTGGAGTCACTGGAAAGCAGAGTATTGAGATGTTTATCCTTTTTCCCAGCCTCACAAGGCATTTTTCCCACAGAGCAAGTCTCACATCTGTGCTAAGTACACTTTATTAGCTTTTCCAACTCATGCAGAAATCAACGTCCAGCTCGGGTTCCAGATCCTCTTCAATGGACCTGAAGCTGGTGGTACCAACAGAGCCCTTGCCTGTCTCACCTCAGGTGGCTGCGGTAGAAGTTACAGGATATTCCTCAAAGTTATTTAACTTTTCAAATATTTAAAACCATAACAGGAACTTGCAATTCACCTGAGAGGGGAATGCAGTCACCAGACCATACACTTGGGTAACATGGGAAGGGTCGGTTTAATTAATCTGCTAATGACTGGACACTTCTGGAAGCACCAGTGACTGAAAAGGCCTGACTGTCTCTGGCAGGCAGCTGGGCAGGGACATGGGGATCAACAGGCCATCTTTCCTTACCAAAGACCAAATAGAGAGTGCCAAAAATCAGGTCTTCTCTCTCCGATAAGGTGGAGGTGAACACTGAGGTGTTGGATGCATTCCCCATCTGTAAAGCAAGACACACATGGGAGTGAGAGTGAATTCTGGCTGAGGAGGAGTGCCCAGCTCCCTGAGTTCCCCAGAGGATCTGTGACACATCCCAGGCCAGCAGGGTGCTCTGGCCAGCGCTGCCTGCAGTGCTGAGCAGCCTGGGGTGGGCTCAGGCTGGTAATCCCCCTTGACTGCCATTCCTCCAGCCACAGGTTTCACTGCTGAGCATCAGCCTTTGCGTGGCGATTCTCTGGGCAAGTCCTGGCCTTGTGTGAGTGCACAGGCACGGCATGTTGGGACACAGGAGCAGCCCAGGACACCCCCGAGCTGGCAGCCCCCAGGGCTGATGGGTGGCAGCAGGACAAGGGCCGGTGGTGGGAGGGGGCTCTGGGCTCCTCTCCTCCCACCCTGGATGCTCAATTCTTCACAGCCCAGTGGAAATTACCTTCTTTACTCTCCTGTGCTTTTCGGAGTGTCTGTGTACAGGGATGGGTGATTTACATCTCCCTGTACAGACCAAGTGACTCTGGACATGAGAACGATGTTTTCATTAATCTAATTGGGAACAACCTTCATTTAGAGCTGAGGAAATCACTCCTGAATTACTCATAATGCACAGCTCTCCCCTAGGCCACAGCTGATCTTCCTCAAGAGCCTTTGGAAGCAGCCAACTGATGCACATCACCTCTCCAAGAGGCTTTAGCAAAGCATCTGTGTATTCAGAGCACAGAGCCAGGGAAAAAGGAGGGACTGTGGCCACACAGCTGCACTGGTGATGAGACAGGGCAAGGCCCAGCATAAACAGTCTGGAAGGAATTGTTCCTGCTCCTCAGCACACATGCAGCAAAGGAGAGAACTGGCAAAGCTTGTAGGATTTGATTTCCTTCAGATCCCTGGCAGGTCTCCATCCTGCAGTACAGCAGGGGAGCTGCAAGTGTCCTGTGAGATCAGGCTGGCAAAAAGCACCAATAATCACAGGACAGGAATTTCTATTTCTGACACATTGCTTACGATAAACCTGATTTTCGTGATTGTGCTTGAGCTGCCTGTAAAGCACACCTCTCTCATTGTAATACAGAACTGATGAAAATGCATCTCTTGCTCTGATCAATGTGCTGTTGTCACTGACATAGACGATAAATCAGTTTTATAGAAATGTGGAGAGCTATCCCTCTCGTGTCCAAAAGTAAATCATAAATTGGATCCTCCCATCAGGGTGCTCCCTCAGGTGAGCATGTGGTGGGGGATACCTGCCCAGGCACATCCTTTGTGGAGAGTCACAAACTGCAGAAATATCAGTGCAGGTACCAAACACATCCGCAATGATTTCTGACAGAAACAGCCACAGGAGTTTTCTTCCAACTCAGAATATTCCAAACACATGGCTGTGCTCAGTCAAGATTAATCTGTGACTCCTCTGGGACAATGATTTCTGACAGAAACAGCTACAGGAGTTTCCTTCCAACTCAGAAATATTCCAAACACATGGCTGTGCTCAGTCAAGATTAATCTGTGACTCCTCTGGGGGGGATTCAGCCTAGACTGTCCTTGGAGGTACAGCCAGCACTGAGCAGCCCTTCAACATCAAACTGCTCAGCCACGTAGAGCTGCGTGCTCTGGGCACACAGAGCTGCTGAATTTGATTTAAGCTCCATTGCTCAGATGCTGCTCTGAGAAGAGACAGACTGTGAAAGCTCTTTCCCCTCAATTTAATCAGACTTCAAAATGAGATGCAGTTTTCCAAGCAGCTGCTGCCAGAGGTACATTACGAGGAAACCCTCGTATTCTGCATCCCAGCCCTTATTCCTGTGTTCACGGGAAGAATCAGACCTAAACCCAAACCTACACCCACGCCTGTGTCTGGCACCTGGGAGAACACTGGCATGGCTGGACTGGCCTGCATGGACTCTGTCTGCATGGAAAATCCTGCTTTCATTTTGTGTGATTACCAGCTTTGCCCTTTTCTCCTCCAGACTTGAACAGTTGCTTTCCTTCAGCAGACATGCTACACAGCCAGAGTCTGCCTTGGAGAGGAGGAAGAAACCTGATGAGCCTGGAAGCCCTCCTGACCTCCAGACTCTTTTGATAGTCAACAGCAGAAATCAATTTCTGCAATTCCCAGCACAGGGGAAGCTCACACACTGTTGCCTACCTAGCAAATAGTGCAGGCTTTAGAAAAATCACAGAATAGCAGAAGCACACAGCTGGGCAGCGCTCAGGGTGGGAAGGACAGACAGCAGTGTGAGGACAGACCCCTACTCAAAATCACAGAGTTCTCCTGTGCCACGGCTGCCCCTCCCCACCAGCTACCGACAGTACAACCTGCTTTCTGCCTCAGTTTCCCACCCGGGACTCCTGCAAGCCTCTTTTAGGGGAGTTCAACCCTGCCCACAGCCCCAAGCGTGTCACTCGCTCACACACACCGCCGGTGCCCAGGGCAGGCCCGGAACGCACAGCTCGGCCCCGGGGGGCTCCCGGTGCTGCTGCACCCGGGGGATCCGCGGGACCCCTGTCCTGCCCTCACCCGGGGGATCCGCGGGACCCCTGTCCTGCCCTCACCCGGGGGATCCGCGGGACCCCTGTCCTGCCCTCACCCGGGGGATCCGCGGGACCCCGGTCCTGCCCTCCCCCGGGGGGATCCGCGGGACCCCTGTCCTGCCCTCACCCGGGGAATCCGCGGGACCCCTGTCCTGCCATCACCGGGGGGATCCGCGGGACCCCTGTCCTGCCCTCACCCGGGGGATCCGGGGGGTCCCTGTCCTGCCCTCACCCGGGGGATCCGCGGGACCCCTGTCCTGCCCTCACCCGGGGGATCCGCGGGACCCCTGTCCTGCCCTCACCCGGGGTGGGGGCACCCGGGGCCCCGCATCCCTCCGGGGCAGCGCCTCACCTTTCCCGGAGGGGTCCCCGGCGCTTCCCGTTCCTCTCCCCGCCGCAGGATCTTACCGGGGCTCCGCGGGGCGGAGGCGGCTCCGCCACTCGCTCAGCACCGCCGGCGACGGACAGCTCCGCTGGGCACGGCGGGGGTCCCTGTCCTGCCCTCACCCGGGGGATCCGCGGGACCCCTGTCCTGCCCTCACCCGGGGGATCCGCGGGACCCCTGTCCTGCCCTCACCCGGGCTGGGGGCACCCGGGGCCCCGCATCCCTCCGGGGCAGCGCCTCACCTTTCCCGGAGGGGTCCCCGGCGCTTCCCGTTCCTCTCCCCGCCGCAGGATCTTACCGGGGCTCCGCGGGGCGGAGGCGGCTCCGCCACTCGCTCAGCACCGCCGGCGACGGACAGCTCCGCTGGGCACGGCGCTGCGCTGAACTGAACTGTCCGCACCGCTCCGTGTCCCTCCCGCACCGCTCTGTGTCCCTCCCGCACCGCTCTGTCCCTCCCGCACCGCTCTGTGTCCCTCCCGGCTCTGTCCCTCCCGCACCGCTCTGTCCCTCCCGCACCGCTCTGTGTCCCTCCCGCACCGCTCTGTCCCTCCCGCACCGCTCTGTCCCTCCCGCACCGCTCTGTGTCCCTCCCGCACCGCTCTGTCCCTCCCGCACCGCGCTGTCCCTCCCGCACTGTTCTGTCCCTCCCGCACGGCTCTGTCCCTCCCGCACCGCGCTGTGTCCCGCCCTGCCCGCGGCGCTGGCCGGGCCGAGGGACAAGGGACAAGGGACAAGGGACAAGGGACACGGCCTCCACCGCCCCCGTGCCTGCCCCCGGCCCGGTCACTCCGCCAACCGCCCCTGGAGCCGCGGTTTTCCCAGCAAGGGAAACTGAGGCACCAAGAGGGTTCTGAAGAGCTCTCCGTGGCCTCAGCGCTCCCGGGCTCGTTTTTAGCTCTCCTTGGCCACCCCTCTCGTGTGCCCCGAGCAAGACAGGCTGGTCACTCGCTCACCTGTCCCTGCAGACCCGGCTGGCCACCGGGCAGGACCCCGCGGCTCCAGGGACGTGCTCAGAGTGACGGTGGCGACGGGGACATGGGGATCGCTCACTGAGTCTGTCGTCAGCTGGAGCTGGGTTTTGTTTTCCACCCAAAGCATTTGATCTCTCTCTGCTTGGCAAAACACGAGTCACAGCCATCACTTAATTTTGTTAATGTCCTCTACACCAAGAGCTTTCCCCTGGTTGCCAGTAAGAAATGGGAACGATATCAAAAATCCTAATATTAATTTTTTGAGCTCCAAATACTGCCAGGGCTGCTGGTCAGCTTGGATCCAGGTGCCTACATTTGCTTCAGAAAGGAAATCCAAAGCTGGAGAGATGCACAGCAACAGCTTTGTGTACCTACATGTGTGAAAGAGAATCATTTATGGGCTCACCAGCTATGTAAATAGATGCATGCTGAGATTGTTATAAACTGAATGTTATTTGTTGTTTATGTTCCAGAAATACAAAAGGCCTCAGCCAAGTCTGAGGCCCCATTGTGCAGCCTCTCCACATGTCCAGAGTTAACCCCAAAATCCCAACATGCCCCAGGGAATGTGCCTCATTTTCTCCCTTTCACCTGGAAGGGACCTGGGGGAAGATGCTCAGTAACAGCCATGGGACAGGGAGTTCTCAGCAGTCAGGATCTCACACAGGAGCAGCAGCACTTTCCACTCCACACCGTGCTGCCTGCAGCTACTGCCCTTTGTGGGCACACCTGCAGCATTGCATGATTGCTTTAGAGGGTTTTCCTTGGGAACCAACCTCCTTCCCAGTGTGTCTTTCCTCAACAGCAGCACTGCATCCATCAGCCCTTCTCACCCAGCCTGGGAAGAGGGACTGAAGCCTTTGGGATAATTGAGTTCCCACCTGGTTTGTGTGGCAGGGGAGCTGTGTGAGAAGGGGAGGAAGCTCAGGGGGATGCCATGGAGCACACACAGACCCCAGAGTGCTGCTTCCCCTCATGTCTGCAAGAGTTTTCTCAGAAGAGATGGAGGAGCCAGGGGTTATGGAGGTGATGGGGCAGGAAACCAAACCTGCAGGAAACCAGGCTCTACATTCTTGGCTGTCCATGGAGCAGCTTTTTCTTCTTAAGCCTAAGCACACAGAG